ATTATTATTATTATTATTATTATTATTATTATTATTATTATTATTATTATTATTATTATTATTATTATCATTATTATCAATGTTCCTCTCCGATAATTTTATTTTTAAAGTTCTTTTATTTATTCTATAATCTTCCGCCCCTTCGTCCTCTTCATCCACGTCTTCATCATTATCTTTAATATGTTCATTATTCGTATTGTCATTTTTACTTTTTATAGTAAGATGTTGGATTTTATTCGTGCCCTTAGCAGAAGCAGTAGCATTTGAAGTAGTAATAGTAGTCGTATTATTATTTGCAGTCGTGGTTGTTTGAGAGCTGGATAAACTCAAAATAGAATCAATCAACGATGCTCGACTATCCACTAACTCTTGATCACGTTTCCTTATTATAGAAGATGATGACGAATTGGCGTTATTCGCTAGAGTTACCGTCGTGGTTGCTGTTCCTTCTTGTGGTGGTGGTGGTGGTGGTGGTGGTGGAGTTGGTGATTTCGTATTTGAAGTTGTTGGCATTTTATTTTCCTTTTTTTTGTCTTCACTGACTAATGGAGATGGACATTTTATCTTTATCTTTTTATTAATAGAAAATAATGAAATTATCAAACGTCAAAGAACCAGTATAGTATATTATTTACCGGTAACAGGATCAAGGTCAGCAGAATTACAATTTTTATTATCATCGTAATTATCACCATCTTCTTTTCCATTCTTTTCCCCTTCATGAATTATTTCCTCGATCTTCTCTTTAAATATTGACACATACTCTTCAGACTCCAACACTTGCTTTAGAATGTATTCGCCCATTTTTTCATATTCGCCACTTCTAGATAATTATAATCACTATTAATAAACAGAGATGAGAATAATGAACATCGAAAATAACGAAAGGATTGGTCGCTAAATCGAAGACAGAAATTCAAATCAAACGAAAACCTTACTTATCAAATGCCTCATGTAGCGCATTGTGAGTTTGTGCCGAGTCTTCGTTGTCAAGTAGTGACGGATTCTGAGTAATACTCGTTTCCATTATTTTCGTGAGTGTCTCTTTGAACTGTTTACCTCGTTCCTATTAACATTTTAGTTAACAGACGATTGATAAGGTTAACAGGCCACGAGGTAACAACGCATAGGATTATCTAACAAAGTAATAAATTGGTTCGGTACATTCTCCATAAAGTCGTCAAGTAACTTCTTGCGCATATCGTCAAACGCACCACGGCGCTTAAACTGGCTTACTACGTCTTCGGTTGTCAAAGGCATTTTAAATTTACTAGTTTCTAATTAGGTATACACAAGTAGTCACACTTTGTCACGTGCTTCAAGAGCTTAAGGTCTATGATTACTCTCGAATTTTTTTCGAGAAAAATGACGCTCCTAGATAACGATTCTGTATATATTTCACTTATGTATTTTTATTTCTTGGTTTTTTTTGTGTGATAAATGTTATAACCGGCAATTTATTCATAGTTTCTAACCCAATTAACTCGACTTTTCGAAAAGACAAAAGTTTCAGGAAAGAAAGTTTATGTCACCACGAAAAGATGTAAGTTTAATAATGCAAAAGAAACATGATGGATTGATTGGATATCAGATATTGATTAGCATATATTTAATAAGACTCTTATGAGCCTCGAATAAAAAAAGAAGAAACCGATAAGTCCAAAAAGACAACATCAAAAAATAAAGATGATAAAAAAGACAATCAAGGTGACAGCATGCTGATAGATATCGACACCACATCATCATCAACCACCACCACCCTTTATCCCTGTTTAATGCGTGCTACATGTGGAAAGATAAAAATTAGTACTCTAGCAAGTATTATTTATTTTTCGATTCTAAATAGTTTAATTACTTTGACTATTTATTTAATATCGTTTAATTTGTTTAACAAAAAAAGATTCAGCCATCAGATTCAGACAAATTTCATATAGAGTACACTAATATATTCAAGGTTCATATGGACTCGATGAAAAAGAAGGACAGAAAGGAGAGGAAAAAGGAAAAAGACAAGAAAAAAATCATAAAGACAAAAGCAAAGGCCACGACTGCTTAAATATCACGAGAAAGGATGTATGAATTTACCATGTTGGTTGATATACTATCATCATCTAACTTTTAAGCAAAAATTAGGTTTCTTTGGATAGATTTTCTCCAATACCAATAACGGATATGGACTTTGTCTTATCATAGTTGTGTTTATTATTATAAGTACACGTAGAATTGAAAATGTTTGAAGTTAAAAGATGATCGAATTTTTTCAGTTATTTTATTTTTCTTTGGAAGAATACTTTTCCAAAGACGCAAAATAAATCATTTATTGTTATTCAGTCTAAAAAGTTATTTGAGAGATCAAAGATATTATCATCACTGTTTAACGTCGACGAAGTAGTGTTAATAGAAGGAGAGGGATTGGCATTGATAATCGATCGTATGTTTGGTTGACATATCCAATACGGGTATTGCTTGATTCCATCCTCGTCGACTGGAACCGATACTAAATGTACTTCTTGCTCTAATTGGGAATCATCAATTTGCTTCAAAGAGATTTTTTGACTATAATTAACCATTTTGATTATTTGATAGTATAATCAATTAATAAAGCGAACAATCAAATACCTCTATTTGTATGATTCGTTTTTTCAACTCGTCAACTAGCTCACAAAACTCTTGTAAATAATCCGCATTTGCCAATCGTTCACGCAAATCAGCATGAAATGGAAGAGCTGGTCTCAAAATTTTAAACAAATGACCACGGATATAGGCGTTTTTCGTGGGGATTGTCTGACATATATCCAGATATTCTTGAGCCATTCGCCATATTGGCGGATTGAGATTTGCGAATAAAGCCGGATTGTATAAGTTTCCTTCAGCTGACATTACACCGTCGGCTCCTGTAGCATCCAGACAGCGTTGTATATCTTCAAAATAAAGGATATTACCGTTGGCGATCACTGGGATATTAACTGCTTCCCTAAGGTCAAAATAAATATCCACATGAACAAACAACGACAAAGAAATGGGAACAAGTCATTAGAAACCAAGCAAATTACTCTAATAGATTTGCTTGGTTTCTATTAAATAATAATAACATTACTTTTAGTATAATAAAAGATGCCATAAAAATTAAAAATTTACCACAATTTCGCAAACGTACTTCACACGACGAATCTGTTCCCAATCCGCCAACCCTGTATTCTGTCCTTTTTGATCTCGTATACGACCGTGCACCGTAAGCATTTGCGCGCCAGCACGTTCGATCATTCGTGCATATTCAATTGTTTTTTCTGGATTCGGGAAAATACGTATTTTAGCGGTGACTGGTATCGAGAGATGCTGGTGAAGATTATTTACTAATTATATTAATAATAATATTATCACTATCAGTAATGGATAATTTACTGAATAACATTACAATAATATTTAAGAATTAATTAACTAACTTAATTTATGGATTAATTCCCATTCATCTTGTAAAAATGCGCCATATCGACCACGTCTTGCAATATGTTGCGGACATCCCAAATTTAAATCAACAGCATCACAATGATCTTGAACGCGTTTAGCCGCCTCAAGTAAAGCTTCCGGTTCATTGGCACAAAACTACTAAAAAAAAATAATCCAAATTGAAAAAAATACCATACAAATAACTTTCCAATGATATTGATAAGTTCGTACCTGCACTATTAGCGGTCTATCTCCTTCATCGGTAGACCACACTTCCTGCCTGTACCGCAAATTACGCTCATCACAAAACATTTTCGCGTGTATCATTGGCGTGAAACAAAGTTGTGCCCCATACCGACGCGATAATACACGCCAAGCTTGCTCACTTTGGTCTACCATTGGTGCTACAATGTATTTGGCACCTTTAAGTATTTGGTGGTAAAAATCAAACCCTGAAAGTTTCTTTTGAGGTCTTTGCATTTTCATAAAGTTTTTCGTTATTAGTCCAAATAGAAAGTAGGGAAACACTAATGCCGTCCGGATCTAGTTAATCCAGATATAATTCGGGTTGATTTTAATCCACAGACGTGTGGAACAAGTGATCAGTATAATTAAGAGATCAGGTGACAGTATGAAAACAAGAGGTAACAGATATATAAATATTTTAATTATTTTTCTTATTATAATTACTTTTTATTATTAATTAAACTAAATTTTTTCTTAAATAATTCTAAACTTATTCTTGTTTTTTATTAATAATTAAAAATTATATAAAGATTTTTATAAATTATTTAATTTTAAAAGAAAATAATCAAGAAATAATAAATATATTTAATAAAATCATTATAATAAAATAAAAATAATAATAAAATTATCAAAATTAAAGAAAAGTTTAATTTGAAATTAATATTAAAATAAAATCAGTAATTTAAAAAATAGATAATTAAGTAATATAATATTAATAATAATTTAATATTAATTTTGATCTGATCAAAATTAAAAATTTTAATTTTAATAATTTATTTAAAAATAAAAAAATAAACAACTTAATAAATAATAATTTATAAGATATTATTATTTTGAAGAATTATTATAAGATATTATAATTAAAATTATAATAAATGAAAATTAAATTAATTCAAATAAAATAAATAATATTAATAAGAAAGAATTTTTTATAACTTATTAAATATATTTATTAATTATTTAATAAATATAAATTAAATAATTATCTTGAATTAATTATATAATATATATATTTAAAAAAGAATAAAATTAAAAAGATTTTAAAAAAATTAATTGATTTTATAAAGCTTAATTTTTTTTAAAAGAATTAAATATTTTATCATATAGATAATTATTATATATTATAACTAATCATCTATTCATGTGATATAGTAGACATGATACAGTATATAGTACAGCTACAGCACATAGTGCAGTAATCACTAATCATTACTAAATTGGATGAATAAGTAATTTATATTAATTAATCTTATTAATAATTAATTCTATTTTTAGTTTATATTATTACCTATATTTAGTCTTATTCTTTTATTAATTTAATTATATATGTTATACCTAATTTATAGTTTTATTAAATTAATAATTTCCTAATTAATTATTATTAATTTTCTTTTTTTTCTTACTTTAGCTTTGAATAACTTAATATTTTACTAATTTTAATTCTTTATTATTATGTATTTAATATTCTTTGTAATTATTCTTTTCAAATTCTACTTATTCTTGGATAAATTAAGTGAAATATTATGTTAGAAATAATTTATAATTAGTATAGTAAGAAAAATATTATATATAGAGAGTCAAGAAGTAATTAAGAAGAATAATTAAGTTTAATAGAAAGGATTAGCTACTGAGTTAAGAGTAGTTAATTAGTATTTTTCTTTAATAAAATATATATTTTATCATATATTTTATCTTATTTTTTTCTTGCTCTATTAAGAGAGTATTTTATTAAAAGCAAATTTGAATAATTATCTTATTGAGAAGATAATCATATTTTGATTAGAAGTAAACTTATATAAATTATTTTATTAAAAAGATAATCATATTTTATCAAAAGTAATTCTTGCATATATTATCTTATTAAGAAAATAATCAGTTATATAATTTCTTGAAGTTATAAAAAGTAAATAACTATTGTAAACACAGTTACTATTACTATTTTAAAATAATTATATATATATAATCTTAAAATAATAATACTACTTATTTTGATTTAAATTCTGAAAAAAGTATATTTATATAAAATAGTTATCATTTATTTCATATTAAAATTACTTTTTTATTACTAAATACAATGATATACTTATAACTTATAGATACTGATATTATTAAAAGCTTTAAGAATAAATATAAAGCTTTATATTATTATTATATTTTAGCTTAATTTAAAACTAGTAAGGATATTAATAAGTAAGTATTATAATATTATTAATTTTTAATTACTAATACTTATATTTTTTAACTTAAAAATATAAATTGGATATCAAGCATGCAATAAATTATATGACAGAAAGTTAAAATATTATAAGTTAAGATATCATTGTCAATTATTAAAAAAAATAAGAATTTTACCAATAATAAAAGATAATGATAGTTAATAATAGAAATCATAATTAGTTATAACTTATTATAATTTTCTGATTGACTATTATAACTCTGTT